AGTTTTCCACTTGGATAAGTGGTTTTGGTGTTGTTGATATTTGAAAATTTGATTGTCTTTTTGTTGTTTGCTGTCCCATTCTGATATCACAATGTTGTGCATATTTGTATGGAGGTCGTGCAGCCTCATGCAGTGGTTATAGGCCATAAATCACATAAATGAATATATTCGAAGTCGAAAAGAAGTATTAATGGGCTGAACGAGTTGACTAGAGTTTAATTTTAACACGAAAGCAGAAAAAAAACGAATCAAAAACCAGTGGAGACTATGGCGTTGACGGCGACGATGATGTATTTCACATTGTACATAAAAAAAAATACATTGCAAACACGGCAATCACACACCGATACAGTCAACTACTTCATATACTTGTGAATCTTCAACAATGTGCAGTTTTTTTCAATTCCTTGCTCGACGCTTTTTTCTTCCATCATATCGATCGGATTTGAATTCTATCTATCTATCTCTCTCTTGCTGACAACTCCTAAGCACATAGACTCTTGTGGCGGGTGTAAAATGCGTGTGATGCATTTGTGTTTACTGTCGCGCGGTTGTAAAGCCATATATGCGTGTATTGCATATAAATATTCCTAAACATCTTAAGTTAATAAAAATATAAATTTAATTGATAGGTGCCTTTTGGTCGTTGAGCTGTGTGCTCTTTGTCTTTATTGTCGTATTGTTGTTATTTTTGTCTTCATTCTATCTTTAACAGGTTCAGTCATGATGGTCAAATGGCATTGTCTCTTTTTTTGTTCCTTTTCGATTTCTTTTTTTTTATGGAATCGAATCGAAAACATTACTCATCCATCAATATATCATCATGGTCGTCGTTGTCGTTTTCGTCATGATTGTGAAGTTAAATCAAGTCAGTTCTACTGATATGTGCTCAAACCAGAACAAAACGAAATTCTTTAATTTTTTATTATTTCATAAAAGTATTAAATTTATACTAGTTTTATTTGAACTCTTTTTTGTCTCGTTGTTCTCTTGGTTTTTTTTTTGGTCATGGCGAATCGAGCACAGATCTACAAAAGAATACCGAAACATCAATAGCAACACAAAAAAGCGATTGGAAAAACGACGTCCGAAATTCCGTCAACACAGAGTGAATAAAGAAATAAAAAGGTGGTTTTGAATTTTGTCGTTTCATTCTCTCTCTGTGTGTGTGATGCTGCTGTCGCTCTGAACGGTTTCTAATGTATTCCTTCGATTAGTTTTTGAGAAAACAGAAACCATTTGAATTTTGACGGAATCGAACATTGTATTTTTGTTTTATTTTGATTTATAATTTGAGTGATGGATCTTTCGAAAAATTTGAATTTTATTGATTTTATTAAGAAGGCACAAAACAATAAACGCTCTGATATTTTTGTCTGTGTGTTTTCTTCTCGGCCTTTTTATACCATGACTCGTCGATTTACTCATTTAATCCTGCATTATAAAATTTTGTAAAGTTTTGCTGTTGTCAAAAAGTGAGAAAATTTTCGTTGGAATAAAATCCGTGAAACGGAAAGTTGATGTAAATCGATTCAAAGTCAATGTTTTTATATTATGATCGGTTTCAAATCTCTATTAATAACAAGATTTTATTGTTTCGACACAAATCGATTTGTCCCTTCCTTTAATTTCGTCACAAAGTTTCGTTTCTCTAAAAATCCAAAATTAGCAGATTTTTTCCATCAAACTGACCGTCGAAAAAAGCTTGCGAGGAAAAAAACTCGTTCGACCAAATGAATATGTGAACATGTTTTTTTTAGTGGAGAGATCAACATTGCCAAGTTAGGATTTGCAATGGATACATACGATACAGTGGCAATTATAAATCAAAAAGCCAATTACAATTTTGAAATTGCGAAATCGACAATTAGCTTCGACTCGAGACTACGATTGGTGTCGAATCAAAGCGTTTATTACATCACATATCATTTGTTGGCCAGTATAAACTTCAATTTCACCTATTTCGGGTATATACATATCAAAGACGATTAAGAAAACAATAATGTCGACAATAAATAAAAAGAAACACAAAACACATAGGAAATTGATTTCGAATGAATTGGTGTGTAGATTTTTTTCTTTCAATGTTGATACTTTCCCCATGCAATTCAAGAGATTATATATTTCCCTGTTTGTAGAAAATGGATAAATTTAATGTATGTTTAGTTGCCTAAATGGTGTATCTCAAGTTTGGTTTCTATTTCGAAATCGATATACTCTCTCTCTCTCTTTTCCTCCATGAAATGATGTGAAAAGTGAGTGCCAATGGAACCGAAATATATGCACATAAAAGCGATAAAATGCGAAGTAACAATAGCGCAATTTGTTTGTGCCACGCGTTCTTCAGGACCGTGTGGCCGTTGAACGAGAGAGGAAGAGACAGAGCAAAATAAGTGAGGGTGGGCGAGAACGAATGAGGTGAACGTTTACATATTTATTGGCTAATTTCATTTCGATTGGCAATAAAATATATCGGCCTATTGAAACTAAATCAAAGTGATTTTCGGTACATTCACATTCGATACGATTAGTACATAATTCAAATTCAATTAAAAAAAAAACTACGTTTTTGTTCTTTCACTCCATATCTCTTCAATTCGATGCGTTCAAGTCGCATGAAGTGCGGAAGATGTAATTTAAACACCACGCGCATATTGGATATTGTGTAAAACATTACCATACTACGATACGGCGAATAATTGTAATTCGAATTTAATTGTTTGCATCGATCAATATAGATTGTCGGTCGATTTGCCACATTCAAGCATTATAAAATTCGCGCAAGAGGTGCATGAACGAGAATCGCCTTCTCTCTTGCATTTTCTGGTTTCTCTCCATTCACAAATTTGCATATTGTTTTGGGAATACATGCATTATTTGATATGTGATTTGTGCATGCGTGACTCTGGGTACATAAAGTTCATCATATATGTGTTCGTGTAGTAGTTTTGTTTTTATATTCTTTCTTTGGCATTCGGTGCATTCATCTCTTTAGATCGCCAATAAAAAATGAACAACACTGAAAACGATATAAGAACGAATTCTTGCGCGCTAAAATACACTCGCACACAACCACAATTGGAAACGGTATGCAAACAATGAATCGAACCGATGCGGCAAAACATCGTTTCGATTCCAAAATACAAACACTCTCTGGCGTGCAAGTGAAAAAAAAAAGAAAGAAAAGAAAATCAAAACTGATCCGAATAACAATGTGTAAACGTTTTATTTGTGTAAATGAACAAACATACTTGCACCGTGTTCACGAACCTAAATGAATATGTAAACAGTAGCATTTTCAAGGAATCCCCGTTCTTATACGGTTCGTTTTTCGCAGGCATTTTGCATTTCTGTGTGTGTGTAAGAGCAGAAAACAACGGTGCAGTTACTGCTGCTGCTGCTGCTGCTGTAACAATCAAATGCGTATTTTTCTGCAGTGCCAACCGTTAGGTTTTCGATTATAGGTATCTCTCTGTTTTCAACGTCCCTTTCGAATCCTTTGTGTGCGACGGCGGCATTTGATTTTATGAACCAAACCAAACAACGAACGAAGAGAGAAATAAACAGGCAATAAATTTTCTTTTAATATTATTACCAAATATAATGAGATTATTTACAATTGACATTTCGAATGGTTGAAGTTAAGTACTCTCTGTTCTCTTCTTCTGCATTTTGCGTGCGCTCATGTGTATATGTGTATGTGAGAGTTTTGTCTTTGATTTCTGTGAGTTTTTGTTTCGGGCTACATTGATATTATTTTATTGGACTATGTTCTTACGGAAATTAAGACGCTTGTCAAAAACGAATTATGACATATAAACGCACACACACACAATCCAATCGAGCGAAAAATTGCACGATTTCACAACTTTACATATGTCTCTCTTTTTTTTTCTTTGTAAGTGAAAAAGCGCCGCGCGAATAAAATTCACCCCAAAAATTGGTTTCGATGTAAAACCATTTTGTCTTGAGTTTTCAACAAAGAAAATAGAAAACGGAATCAAGGAAGGAGAGCAAAGAACGGAGAGTATTTATATTGTAATTAATGTGGTGGAAATCGGCTCTCTGAACTCCAAAAACCACCATGCATTATCCGCACATACACACAGAAACATACCGCTTCTTGCCTTTAATGTTCATTTGCAATAATCACATATAAATGCGGAATAATATTGTTATTATTCAAAGATGTTTTTCGCCATTCAAGCGACGAGTAAGCGAACACAAAACGCAATTTAATCACATTGGCAATATGATTGCAATAAAGTAACAGCATATGCAATAAACTACAATTGTTGTCATACAATATGAGAATGAGAAAGAGAAAGAGGGAGAGCGTCAGAGAGCAGAATAAACCGCACAAAATAGTATTTTACGGGTTTTCAGTGTTGCTTAGCTCGAGAATTTTTCGGTTTTGTTGGAATATAATAGAGCGCATTCGGAATTTGTAACAGCGACAGCAATGACGAAGATCGGACCGGGTGGCCAATACACATTTTCAACGAATCCTTTTCATTCTTCGTCAACGTAATAATAATAATAATCATCATCATGATATATAATTGGTATTTACATTTTATTAAAACAATTCATCTTTTTTTTCTCGACCGAAAGCAAATTAATAAAACTTAACGACACAATTATGGAAATTAATTGAAAATGAAGTTATTGCGTTTTGTGTGCTCTTGCTGAGTGTATATGGACAATTTCAATTCAGATAAATGATTATAATCGTTATTATAATTGTTTTTTCTCGGGCTTTTGCGATTACTCTCACTCGGCTTCATTCACTTTCTTGTTTCGATTAACGGTGACATTGCTACTAATTTTCTGACAAATTTAAATTTTTCTTCGGCGATTTAAAAAAAACCTTCTTTTGCCATTTGTTTCATTTTTTTTTTCAATTTTCTGCTTTCTACTTAGTTTCAAATAAGAAAGAATGAAAATTTCCAAAGCAAAAAATTATCGCTTAAAAAAATTGAGTTTTAATAAATACTTACGTCGAAAACCGGGTGCTTCTGGTGAACGTTCTGGACTGCAAATCCGGTCACGATCGCCTTCTTCGCTTGTTTGTGCCTCAAGCGATTCTTCTTTGACTGGCGGCGATAGTGATGTACATGCTGGACTCGATGAGTCCGTTCGAAATGATTCACTTCCGCTGAATAAAATACCCTGTTGAAAAATAGATGCAATCCATTGGATTTCATTCACTTCGATAAGTATCTTGAAATTAATTACAAGCGAAATAATCTAAATTTATCACTCATTGATGATCGTTTTTCACCCCCAAGAAGTGGACGAAATAAATACAAATCGAATTCCACATTTTTTTTGTGCGCATAAGATTAACAGGAAAAACGGTGGAAAATGCTTAATTATGCCTTATCGATTACAGTATCTCAACCGTGTTCACCATTACATATAAGAGCATGGGAAATCACAAAAGAAACACTTTGTATCCGTTTTCTTTTTTCGCTCTTTTTCTCAAAATCAATGAGACAAACAGACAACACCGGTATATTGAGATCGTTGGTGAGTGTTTATTGCTGTAAATGAATTTCAAAAAAAAAATAATAATAAAATGTCTATTCAATATTTACCTGTTCCAAGCCGAGGCCAACGCATTTTGTTGGTGGTGCGAATGCTGATGGCAGCGGTAAATTCGATGGAAATGGCTTAACAAAGGCACCGCCGCTGCTGCTAAATGGATTGCTTACGGAGCTCGCTGATGTCACAGTTGGATGCAAAAAATGGGGTGGAAAACCGTGTAATAGATGTGCACCGTAACTACCAACTAACGATAAATGATGCAAATCCTTGGCATCTTGAATCTTTACATTGTTGCCAACAAGCATACCCGCAACATACCCCACGAACCAAAGATGAAAAATTGAAATAGAAAAGAAAACAAAACCGAAACGAAAAAAAAGAATTGCGTATTAGATGGTATGTTAGATCGAGTGAAAATGAGGTGAAATATGAAAACAGAGCCGGGCGACAGAGAATTTGTGTTCGATGATAAGCACATGTGATACGGATATGGGTGACAAAATTAATAATAACCAACTAATAAATATATGGAGTTTGGTACCGAACGAGCATTGTGTATGAGAGAAAAATGATTGGGTTTGCCACTGTGCCCCGTGCCGTGTACATGCATATAAATATCATACAGCTTTTAAATCACAAACGAAATATACACGAAAATTATGACGGGCATTAATGAGTGCGCACAGACGATATCTAAATTGTGTACGTGTGCCAAACGAACACACTGTTTAGCTACTTTGTTGTCGTCGTCGACGTTGTTGTTATTGTTTACAATATGTGGCCGCGGAAACAGTCGGCTACGTCGCTGAACTCCTGAAGCGAATTATTTGAATTTTGCACACCAAATATTTCAATCGGGTAATTTTCATTAATTTATCGTCGCATTCGCACTGTTTCGCCAAATCTTTTCGTGCCACCTTCGTTCACAACACATTTTTCCTCTCAATTTATTATTATGTTTGACATTTTATTTGCAAAGTGAAAAATGAATACGAACAAACGAATTTCACTTCCATCTAATTCCGAGCAAATGCCGACGATTTAATTCCGCCAAGATTTGCACAAATCTTTGAATCCATTTGTGCAAATAATTTTTTACCCTCGGATTTGTAATAATTTGAATAAATTCGTTACAATGAAATCAACAAAATCCAACGAAACATTTTATTCAATTTTCGCTTTTTGCGACAGTTGAGATGTCAATGAAATTTTTGGAAATGAATTTTTTTCCTTTTTTCTGATTTCTTCGGTTTTCATTGGTTTTAAATTCAATATCTCCTTAGCGAGTTCAATTGAAAAATGTTAGGACCCGATGTCAATCTCTTCATACTACTAATTGTCAAGTCAATTTGCTCAGTAGGTTTTCGTCTGTCAAATGACCATTTGGCCTCAGTGGTTGTGATATTATGTTGAATGTTGGACCGACAACACATAATTTGACCACATTCAAAGTAGAAGACGTTGCTTTGTTTTCCATTTTTGGAATGTTACCCTTGTTCGAGAATCGAGATGCAAATTGCTTAAGTTAATCTAAAGCAATTACTATATATCTGTTGGAATGTGAGAATGACTTGTGAATAATCCATGTTGTCTTTTGCAAACCGTATAGGGTTGAATAAGTGCAATTCCTTAAGCAAAGGTCACCTTTGGAAATCTCCAAGATCAAATAAATTCACACAAACGAAGAAGCTCCATTTTCTCATTCATTCTAGAGACGGTAAAACTGTATGCAATTCAATGGGATGAGTGGCATCATGACAAATTGTTTTGTTTGTTTTCGTTGAATCCCCCGAATTTGCTATCATCAGAATCAACATTTCTTTTATATAAACAAAATGCTGGGAATGAAGTGTTATCGATATGCGCGCAGTGCCTTAAGTGCAAATTGATTTGTCATTATTCATTTTATTACGCACGCCAATTTCAATTGAACATTTTCGTGGGAGATTTTTTAATTTGTGTGTGTGTTTTTTTGAAGTTTTGATTATTATTGCTTTAATACAAACCTGTGAATGAAATGGTCTTTGAATGCGTAATGCTTCACTAAGCCCATTGGCGGCTTGTGAAAACACAACCAATGCTGGTGACGGCAAATGTGCCGAACCGTATTCAGAACCTTCCATTGCCATTTATGTTGAAAACTGAACGGTTTCTTCACGGCCGATGATAGTTTTTTTTTTCTTTTTCAAATCGTTTATATTACGCTCACTGGGTTTTTTCTTTCGAAAAATCTCCTATTTTCATCAATCCAAACTTTTCCACGCTTGATGTCTCAGCTCGAAATCAAAGTATCCACAACATAAGCCGAATAGGAGAAAAAATTGGAATGAAACTGTCACATTTAACACCGAAATCAGTATGATTTTAGTTATTGGTTTGTGCAACTTTTTTTTTGGTTTTGCTTTATCAATTCAGTTGATAAAATAACTGTAATTGGCACTTGTGTCTCACTCGCGACGCATATATTTGTGTTCGTCTCTTTTTTCCACTGCAAAACGCACTGTTTTCGATTAATAACCATAATCTATTATAATTTCCTATTTTTTTGTTGTCTGTTTGAATTGGTTTCTGTGTTTCTGTTTTTTTAGGTGTCCCGTTTCACGTTCATTTCATTTCCTCGTAATTTAATCAATATTTGTATTTGACATTTGTTATTATTTGTGTAAATTTGCTGTTTGATTTTAGTTTTTTGGTTGGCGTTGGGAGAATGAGAAACAGAGGGCACGTACACGTTTCAATCTCCTACTTGGCATGCAATTTAGTGCTTATCTGCATACGCGCATTATGCCACAAATAAAATAGATTAAATGACAAAAACTCCGCAATTCAAATACGTTTCCATGCAAATTGAAATGCTCTAATTTACTTTGATAGCTATGGATGTCTATAACACGATTACGATCACAATATCAAACTGTTTCTCTTTCTTTCTCTCACTCACTCACTCGTTAATGATAATGATTCAAACGATTTTGAAGGAAAATCATGACCCACCAACAATGAAATTCGCCGATTCGACAAACACAGCATTCGATGACAGTTATTTATGTAATTAATTAGTTTTTCGATTCGTGATAAATCATTCGTGGAAATAAAGTGCTGGTGCAAATGTGCCCGTTGTGTGTGTGTATGGTGTATTGAAATTTGATTTGTCAAATTGTTTTATAGCCACCGTTGAGAGTGTCATTCAATAAGATTGTGATAGAGAACGGTGGATGATGTCACCAACATATCATTATCATAGGCATATGTGGATGATTCGATCTCGTGTGCATGCACATCCAATGGTAATCAATCAATGCGGTTTTCTGCTACTTGCATTTGCCAATTGTGTGATTTGATCATGTAAATGACACACAATGTTTTGATTTGTGTAACCGAAAATTTGTTCACTGTATTTGTTTCACCTCACTCGCACAAAAATATCGGTGCATACATTTTTATCGTTGCACTCGATAACTTTTCCACAATGTGGTTTTGTTTAATGCGGTTATTGTGTTGTTAGTTTTTTTTTTTATTTCGGGGAAAACGATTATGATTTTAAATCACATCGGTTTGTTAAACACAAAATATTTTTGCACACATTTACATTTTTATGATGCAAAATTAATGGTTTATTTCTTTTTTCAAAAATGCTTTATCGTTTGTTGAGCTTAAATAAATCTTATCACTTTACGATATCCGGTTTTGTAGTCCTTTCCTCCGAAATGGCAGGTTTGTTTTCTAAAAAAATCCAAACTCAATTTCAAAAAAAAAAAATGCTTTAGAAAATTCCATTAAATTGTTCCAAAATGATACTTGAATAAATGATCATTTCTTATTTAAATGTTCGAAAAAAAAGGTTCATTTCTTTACACTCTATTTAATTAGCGATTTAAATTTACTTTTAATTCACTTCATTTCTTTTTTTTTCTCGCAAAAATAAAAATGATTCATTTTTTTACCGATGAGCGCTTTTAATTTAGATCCGTTTTTATGAAGTGATCCTATCGTTGCGCCGACGACGATAACAAATGGACTAACGAAAAAAAATATATCGCATGTGAACACGACCAACACCTGAATGCTACTGAATGGTATAGTACGATGTTCCAAATGTGTTTCACACAGCGAAGTGTTATTGTAACGTGTTTTCAGTTGTTGCCGTTTATGCTATATCATCTTCCAATCTGAGTGCATATACTGTGTGTGCGATTTACCACGCGCACGCATACACTCAAATATATACACATCGATGTTGCTTGTTTGTTGGTTTGGCGCACTGTTGAAAATCACTGTTTAGCAGAGTACTGGGTTTTTCTATGTAATCGCGCGCGCATACACACTACAACCACATCTATAGCGCTGGATGAATGGGTATGATATGTGTGTGTGTCGGGCATAGAGCACAACGCGAGCCAGTCAGCATCAAATGTGTGGTAAATGAGAGGAGGTAACGTTTGAAAATGAGGCGGTCTTTCCATTGATCAATGCAAATAAAATCACATGTGTGTATATTTACATACTCTAGTTAAATTTCTGAACGCCAAACGACTAAAAAAAAAACAAGAAAAAATACATACTGTTCGCTATCAACTAGCGGCAACTGCGAGAAGAGCAGATTACTTTAAATGTGTTCCTGAAAACAGCGACATGATGATTTTGTTGAGTGAGAGAGATCTGCGATTTTATGTTATGTGCTATTGCATGTGTGTGCTTGTTTGTTTCGGGGGTAGTTGTGTATAGTAAGTATACTGGCCAAAATCAGTATCTGAAGGTAAAAAGGCGAGTTATTATTGTCTTTCTTCGGTCGGGTGTCCTCTGGTTTAATCTATTTTTTACTCTGTCTCTTTCTCACTCTAACTCTTCCTTTCCTTCTTTTCGATAGACACAGATGGAACTTGTTCGCCAACTATTTTGATCATACTTTTCGGTGTTGGAAATTCAACGAACGGATATATCGTTTCGTCACTCATACACAACCAACTCCGATACTTTACCAGTTCATATGTATATAAAGAGTACAACATTTCCACTCATTCTCTCTCTTTCGCCATAGATTTTGGCTAGTTAGAGAGTGGTTAACGAAATACTCTTGCCACTATACTCTGTCAGCAGCAGCAACAACAACAACATCAAAAAAGAACAACAACCAACTATAATATAGACTATGAACTGTTGGCGAGGCGCTACCATATATAAAAAAGTGAATGAAAAAAAAAGACACGAACTGCGATACGAAACAGAGGCGAGAGAGAGCGAATAAAAATAGAGAGAAAGCAACTAGTATATGGGCATTATCTACTGTAATAAAGTGTGTATATGGTGTATATAAAATAAAGGAAAAGTGATTTCAATGCTGCTTAAGCCACGACTACCTTTCACCGAAACAAGAAAGTGTCCGGCTACTGCCGTTTCTGTAGCTGTATTGTATGCGAGAGTTATTAAACAAATACGAGAGAGAGAAAAAAAAACAACCGACACGAACACATAAACACGGGACGACAAGAGAAAGAGCGACGAAGATAGAAAGGAAGAAAGATAAAAAACACGAACATTTCAAACGAATAACAGATCAAAATGAATGAACAAACTGGCGAATGAACGAAAGCCAATGGAAGAAAAACGCGGCAATCAGAAACAGGAACCTAAATGCAATTGCGGACTAGCGGATTGAAGCGAAACAAAACGGTACATAGTATTTATATCGAATGTAACAAGAGAAAAAAAAATGTGTGGAAAAGAAGAAGAAACAAGAGTAAAGCGACAGTGCCAAACAAAGTTGGTGATAGTTCGCTTAGTAATAAAAATGAAAACTTTACAATTTTGAAAATGAATGTATGGGGAAAAAGGGAATAAGAGCAAATAGGAGAGAGAGATTGCGCGCGAAAAACACAAGGTGAAAAAGTGTTTGCCATATTTCTGTTTACCATTTTCCCTCCTTCTTACTTCCTTTTAGCACCAATGCTCGATCTCACTATTCCAAAACTTAAATGAAGTACATTAAATTTCTCCCATTCAAATGGTTTACGTTCTACACACTTACCATTACTCTCTACTCTTATCATTGCAACATGCACATTTATTTCACTAAATAACGTACCAGCTACAAATAAACACGGATACCAAAGAAGACGGACAATAAAAAAATATCAAACACATTCACAAATACACACACGCGAGCGCACAATTCTTCTCATACATTTTTAACTGCATTTCGAATGTTGCATTTAAACCATTACAAAATCAAGTCGCGAAAAACTTTTACTTCAACATATTTAACAGATTTATCGCACATTTAATCTAGACGATTTTATTTTGCACCGTGCGCGCATATGTTTCACATCACATTTATAAATGCAATTTAATTGCATTTGTTTTTGCACACACAATATATGCCGTTTTTTCTACAGTCAAGTCAAAACATTCTGGAACTGAATTTCGGGAAAATATCACTTATTCATTTAATAACATTTGTTTTTCGAGAAAACTTTTTCGATAAATTTCAGAACAGAAGGTCAACGCTCAAGTTGTGTTTTAAAGGAATTGTAATCAAATTCAATATCTGATTATTTCAATTGTATTTTTAAAGAGAGTGAAGAAGGGTTAAAGAGTTTACTTTTGGAGTGAAATGGAATATGCTTAATTCCTTGAAATGTTTGGAGCTAACAAGAAGGAATTTAGTGTAAAATACAGAAATTCTCGTTAGATTGGGCCAAAAATCAGTGGATTGGTGACAATCGAATCCAAATTACGAATCAATCACTATTTATGCGAAATCGATTTCCCACCTGCAGTTTCATGGACCCAAAGATTCTCAAAAATGGGAATTTTCATTTGTTTTTAAGTTTGCGACTTACAATTTTGATGCCTATTTCTTTATCAATACTTCACGCATTTGAAAGAATAACAAAAATAAATGAAAATATCAAAGTCCAATATTTTATTCGGTTTTGAACTTGACTTATAACATTCTATGGAATTTCTCAATTTCATTATTATAATTTTAATCAAATAAATGCTTTTCTTGGTAATCTTTTAATGTTCTTGTTCAAATGAAAATCGACAATCGTATGAACCGTGTATAATTTTCTGGCCACTATATAAAGTACTAATGGATTAGCGCCAAAATAGACTGATTCGCACTCAAATCCATATCAAAATACTTTGTAAGTATATTGATCCTATTCAAATGTTTACCATAATATAAAACTTTTATTATTTGTTGCGGAGTGATGCTAATGAATTACACATTAATATTTGTTAAAGCTGGCAATTCCATTGTCGTTCTGATAAAGTTGTCGGCAGGAATGGTTTTGTTTATAGTGAAGTTTAATTTTTTTTCAATTGCTTCAATTTTGATAATATTGGTATATAGCTTTCACATTCAAAGAAACGGTCAATGAATGCGAAGTCTTCTATTGGAACCATACTGGCAGCGACTGATTCAATTAGTGGTTTCATCGATAGATTACAAATAACAAATTGAAGACATTTCAATATTATTACTGGTCGCATACTTCTTGACTTTTATAATCAATCTTCAAATCAACTAGCTTTGGTACAAGTTTGCTGGTAGTAATGAAAGTTTCTGGTTGTATAGCGTTACAATAACTAAACCTTAAACTTTTTGTATATTAATATAGTGAGTACTTCATCGTCTATATTTTTAAGAAAATTAACCTTTTCTAATTTTGGATGATTGTGATTCTCGTTTCTCGACAGAATTTTTAATTCGGTATGTTTCAAATTCGAAATTTCCAGCGTCACGGGTAAGTCAAATATAGATACATATTTTCCAACTATAGTCAATTTCTTCAAGCTCTGGAACATTTTCCATGTGTCGATGTTTTAATTATAAATTGATTGTACTTTTGATCAATACCTAAATCTCTTTTAAACGCCTTGGATAACATCATTTTGCATCATCCAGAAATCGCGTAGATTCAAAAGTGAAGTTATAGAAATCACAAGGATACGTCAGATAGCATAGAATCACCTGTATGCAATCATCGTTAAGTACGTTCAAAATATTTTTGTTTTTTGATTTTTTTCCGTCATTTTGATAACATTGATGTAAACGAAGCTATACCTATGTTATAATACCTAATAGTTTAATGCTGTAAAAGAATTATTATAGTAAATTTCCTTTGAATTCAAAATGAAATGAAGGCCTAAAAATGAATGATGAGTTCCACTACTTATTCTTAGGGATAATTAATTCTTGGACATAGAAGATGACGTAAAAAATTTAGGGGAGGGGGGTGATGTTAAAATTCTGTAGGGGGTTCCTGGAAAAATCCATGGGGGTCCCTGACGATGTCAACAATTTCTAGGAACCCTCGTCATCACCTATGATTCTTGGACCTTCAAATATTCGAAATATTCACAACCAAAACTCACTTATTGTACTTGAGATATGAATTATGACATCATTCTGTTGTAAATAAATGGTGTTTTGTTCGCTTATTTTCAGTTTGAAAGAAATAAATTTTACAATTTTTTATAAATATTTGCTGAATTTAAAGATACAATAATTCCTCTATATTTATTTTTTATTAATGTAAAATAATAGTTGAGCTGTTTTTACAAGTTTGTAATATGTAACACCCATATAAATCTATGGATAGATAGTAATTATCCTCTAGTTATTGGCTGTGCAAATGAATTAACAACATTAAAGACGAATCGATGCTGTTAAAAAATATATTTTCTGGGATATTTCACTTAAAAGAAAACCAACCAAAATATAACTCTTATTTTTGAAATATTCACGGTCTGTACGTTCGTCAACTTGAACAAATGATTTTTGTTTTTCAACGACTGGGGTTTTCCAATCAATAAAAACTTACCGAAAGATAGCCAGTCAAAGTAATTTGACGTTTATTATGTTAAAACTTAATCGAAATAACGCAAAATTGATTTTTGAAAAGCTTCTATTGACGATTTTAGAAATATGGAAACACACTCAAAATTAAGATAAAATGGAATTGTGCAATATTGAATTTAATCGAATGGATCTATCGATATATTGAATAGTTTGAGTTTGAAGTCA